ATTTTCAGGGAATCGTTTGCTTGGTCAAGGTTCTGTACCTCTTCTAACATGTTGATAATCCCCTGATTCTTTGTTTCATAGCTAGTTTCTTTTCCATTTTCCCGTCTAGTGCTTTCATTTTATTTATGAAAACATTCTTAATTTTTAACACCTTTATTTAATCTTCTATTCTGTTTGAAATTTGTGCCCAAGCTTTTTTTTTTTGAGACTTTGCTTAGAGATGTTTAGGAGTCATTCTCTTCTATGCTTTTCTTCAGTGTCCCTATTACCAAAAATAGCTTTTAATGGTGGGATTTTTTTGTTTGTTTGCCTATTCTTCCATAACACTTCCTGACTTTGGACTTTGTGGGCAAAGACCCACATACTTCAGGAGGGAATATTGGGACTGATCCTTTTGGGACTGCTTTCTTGGGCTAGAGTGCTATGTTAACTCTAGCAAGCTTTCTGTGCTCCCAGTCAGTTGATTTAGGGCCAGGGTAAATATTATCCTTATCCTTCTGGTCTGATCTCTTCAAGATCTGTTCTGAGTTTGAAGCTGAGCAATATGACTGTGGGCTTGCCTCCTTTGGAGTTTCAGTAGACTGCTGTGGGACTCACTCACTATTAGCCTGGTTCAGTGACCAAACTGAAGGCTTCCCTTTGGTCCGGGATTCCTGCCCTGGTCATTCCTTTGAAGACTTCATGCTGTAGTTGGAACTTAGATTATGGATTGCTCTTCTGTTCAGAGCCACAATGCTATTATTTATTTTTGAACTTGTTCCTTATTCAGTACACAGTCTAGGGGCTGAAACCAGTCCTTACCCTGTCATGCTAGCCTTAAGCACAGGTTCCGTCCTCAGTCTGCCCTGGATCTATGAGTTGGAAATAGGTAGTGAGCAATGAAGCTGCCATTTGGTACTTTACCCCACATCTTGCATAAGGTAGTGGTGCCCCTGCATGGATCTAGGACCTCATCTTGCCCTTGTCGTGATCCTATTTTAAGTCCTTGGGTGCTGGAATGCTCCTCCTTGTGTCTCACTACTGGCCAGACTCCATCCTCAGTGTCCACAGACTTTTCTATCTCCCTTTGGTGATCATGGCTGGAAAAATTTTGACTTTTAGAAATTTCCTGATCAGGATTAAAACTGGGATTTTTTTTTTTTTTAGATTTTGAGGGTTTTTTTGGGGGGGGAAGGGAGAGCTCACTGTACTTCTTGTTTCTTTGCCAAGATTTGGCTCTATCCGCTCTACCCCCACCACCTTTCTTTTTCCACAAGTCCACACTTGGAACTTCTATTTCCTCGCTATTCATTCCTCAAGTTCTTGTAATATACTTTTTGTTTTTACCACTTTAGTGAATCTGTTCTCACAAGACTATAGCTGGCATATCACTGGTGGACTCCCACATTCAGGAAGAGGAAAATAAATCAGTGGAGCTTAATAAACCAATTAATCCAAAAAGGATTGGTAGTTAGGCAGAAGAGAACAATTGCCATGTAAGTCATTGTAACCTGGAGAGGGTCATATGGAGGGGGTGTCCAATAATGGTACTTCAGACAACCAGATATTTTTTAAACAGGGAGTAAACTATTCATTAGGAAAATTATTCTGGTAATCATTCAACAAGCCTTTATTAAATGCCTACTTGACAAGCACTGCAGGTACAAAGACAAAAATGTATTATTTTCTGCCCTCCAGGAGCTTACATTCTATCATTGAAGGCAACATGTACATATGTAAATAAATACAGTATATACGTGTGTGTGTGAAATAAAACATAAGATATTGTGTAGGGAAGTATTAGAATATGGGAGACAGATATGGGAGACAATGTGTAAAGTCTTGGAGATGTGTTATATGAGAAGAACAGCAAGAATATCAGTATGGCTGAACTGGAGATTCTTCCATGGAAGCATAAGGATGAAACAGTAGTAGGTTTTGAGATAAAGGATGGTTAGGAGAAATTAGAGTCAGTATGGCCACTTAGGAGCCAACAGTCAAGGCAAGATCTGATAAGGAACTGAAATTGTCAGTCAATGAGCGTTTATTAAGTACTTACTACATGCCTGCCACTGTGCTGAACTCTGGGAACGCAAAGAAAGGTTAAAAACACTGTCCTGTGAGGAGCACACACCTGAATGGGGGAAAACTGCCTGTAAATAACTAGGTACATATAAGATATAGAAGTGGGAGATGTGGCAGGAAAGGCCTCCTGCAGATTTTGGCACTTGAGCTGCCTCTCCAACAAGGTCAAGGCAACTAAGAGGGGAGGAGAGAGAGCATTCCAAGTAGAGAAGACAGCCAGTGCAAAGGCAAGAAGTGGGGAGACAGGAGTATGGTATGCAAGGAACAGGAAGCAGGCCAGTATAGGTGGATGTTAGAGTGGACAGGAATACAAGAAAAAGCCAGTTTGTAAAGGGTTTTAAATGCCAAAGATTTTCATTTCTCTCCAGCATGACTGACTCTTCCAGGCTTCCACCATCATTATTCGGCTGTCTTCTCATTTTGGAACTTCCTGCTCTTAGCACTTGGGTCCTTCTCACTATGGAATATCCCTCCAGAACTCTGGCTTCCTTCTCCCTAGGAAGTTCTTTCCCAGTAAGCCTCCATTTGTGGAAGTGCCCCCCACCCTCCTCTCCCCTGCTTCATTCTCCTCCATGCTCTGCTTGTGACTCTCTGGATTTTGACACCCTACTCCTTTGTACTTCAGCACCATTCCCCCACGGTGGGGAACTTCGACAGAGGCTGGCACTGACCTTGGGAGGATCATTTTCAGTCAAATGGTAGGGACAAGTTAGATTGCAAGGTGTTGAGGAATGAACAGGTGGAAAAAGGGGAAAACATTTGAGTGTCAGCTACTCTTTCGAGCAGTCTCTTAGTGAATGGGAGGAGAAATACAAGATAACAACTTTGAGAGGAAAGTAAGGTCAAGGAAAGGTATATTTACGATAGAGACGGGCAAGAAGTCATTTTTTTCCCCACTTTTGTCTCCCCACTCCCTATTTCTATAACAGTACCACACAATAAAAGATACTGATTGACTAAAGTTATTGAAGGATTGCAGATAAGTCTTGATGAGGTAAAATTTTGGAAAAAAAAAAGCTAAGGGCAAACTCAAGTGTTTAATAACAGCTGTTACTTATGCAGAGGTTTACAAAGCACCTTACTCACATATTATTTGCATTTTACGGAAAAGGATATCTAGGTTCCTAGAAATTAAAAGGACTTGCCCACTTTCATACAACCAGCAAAGGGCACAGGCAAGATTCAAGTCCATCAGACAGCAGTTATAGTCCATTCTACTTTCAGCAAGTATTTGAATACTAACTAGGCGCTTATGTAAACACTATGCAATGCAAATAGTAGAAGCCTGACAATGGATGGGGAAAAAAATAAGGAAAGGATTGTAGATTCAAGTTGCACCTCGGGAGGATTTAGATAACACCTAAAGACTACAGTCCTGGCCATAAAGGTTGTGAAATTCTAGAATGCTTAACCAGAGGAGGCTCCACCTCCCCCATTTTCTTCCTTTTATTTAAACACGGGGGATTAACATGTCTGAGATGCATCCCGCCCGGGGTACCTGGGAGGAAACCTTGCCGAACACTTGCTAGCGCTCACGGGTGGCTGGGCTGCACGGAGCCCAGGGAGGTCCCTTCCACCCGGGAACAGGCAGTCAGATACCCGGCACAACGCAACACCCGGGACAGGCCTCCCGGAAGGGCGCGGGTTCTAAGCGGGTTGCCCTTGGGTCCGCCGAACTCTGGGTCTGGCGGAACCATGCCCACCCCTCGGGGCAGGGCTTCCAGCCCCCCTAATCGGCTCCAGACACCGCCCCTTTGGGTCCCCAGCGCTGACAGCGGGGATGGGGGGTAGGGGGAGGCCCTGGGCCTCATTTGTGGCGTCAGGGGTGGAGAGGAATAGGAAAAGCCCAGGGCTGCGGGAGTACGGGCCGCTTCCCCCTCCACAGCGGCAACTGCAGCAAACAGGTCAGGGGTCGAGGGGCGCCCGCGCCTCTGTCTCGCGGGATCTCCCCGCAGACCAACGGCGTCGAGACGTCGCGGTATTTGAGTGAGAGACGGGGGGAGGGGGAAGAGAGAAAGGGAAGGGAGGGGAGGACAGGGGAGCGGAGAGGGGCGGACCGGCTCCATTCCTTCCCCCTCGTCAGTTCGACGGAACCCCGCCCCCTAGCTCCGCCCTTCCCCGCCCCCTCCGCTGCCCCGCCCCCCCTCGCCTCGCTTTCCGAACTCCTCCTCTTGCCACCTCCCTTTCCTAACCATCTCATCTCCTTCCCGGCCCCGGCACGCGCGCCTGCCGCGCCCGGCCGCCACCGGCCGTTCCTCGCCCGCTCCTTGCTTTCCTGCTTTGGGCCGGAACCGGAAGTTTGGGGGGCGGGGCGCCAAAGGGGAGGCCGGGGACCGAAAAAACTCGGCCGAGCCCGGAGCCGAAGCCCTGGACACGGCCGCCGCCGCCGCCGCCGCCGCAACCACCACCGCGACCGCGACTAATCGTTGCGACTGCCGCTGCCGCCGCCGCCGCTGCAGGCGTCGCGTCCAAAGGGCTCCCGGACTTTGGGCGTCCGGGTTGAAGGTCGGTCCGGACATCGGACTGGAGTCCACGATCGCCGGACTGTCCGGGCGGCAGCCGCCGCCGCCGCCGCCGCCGCCTCCCGCTTCTCCTCCTCCTTCTCCTCCTCCTCCTCCTTCTCCTCCTCCTCCTCCTCCTCCTCCTCTTCCTCCTCCTCTTCCTCCTCCTCCTCCTCCTTCTCCTCCTTCTCCTCCTCCTCCTCCTCCTGCTTCTCCGCCTCCTCCCCTCCGCTGGCGTTTTGTTCAGCGAGCTATGAGAGGGGAGACGAGTTGACAGTGATTTTGACAGTGATTTAAATCTGCTTTTGTCGGTGGTGCCTTTTTTATTTTTATTTTTTAATTTAACAATTTTTTTTTGGTTCGTGTGTGTGTGTGTGTGTGTGTGTGTGTGTGTGGTGCTGGGGTTTTTTATTTTTTGTTTCTTGTTTTTTTTTTGTTTGTTTGTTTCTGGTGTTGCCTTTTGTTGTGATTGTTGTTGCTGGTGTTGCCCACCCCGTGGAGCGTTTCGATTGAGGGAGCTCCGACTATGCCCTATGACGGTTGACTGGACACCGGGGGTTTGGCTCCGAGGAAGACCCAGGGCACTGGAAATCTCGCCAGAACTTGCTTCGGATTCCCCGGTGCCTCGGGAAAATGGGAGCCGCTGCAAAGTTGGCGTTTGCTGTCTTTCTTATCTCTTGTTCTTCAGGTAGGTTGGAGTTGGACGAGTGTGGTGGTGGTGGCGGCGGCTTGTTGTTGTCGGGTCGTTTTGCTTCGGTGGAGACTGGTGGGGTTCTCCCCCCCAACCTTTCACACTCCCCCCCCCCGGTTTGATTATGATCTGGAAGCCCCCATGAATTTTTTTTTTTTTTAAATCGGTTTGAGTTAGCTTGGTTTGCTGACATGAGTGAATGCTCTGTTGTCGAAGTGAGTGAGAAAGTAAATGGTCTGTGGCCATAACGTTGGATGACAGCTTCTGTAGGGTTTCAATTAAGCCGCAAATACCACAGGTGACATTTTATGTAAATATTTGAAATCTGGTAAGGCGGATTCCAAAATATCTTCATTTGAAATGGAATTCTCAAAACGAATATTTTTAAATAGTGCATTTTTCATGAACACTGTAGTAGCAGTTTAGTCAACTGCTATTTAATTTTGGTAGCGTAAGAAACATTAATCTGTAATCAATAATCTGTCATTTCAACTGGGTCTCACATCTTAAACTTCAGTGTCCAGCAGTGTTAAAAAAATAGTTGATGTTCTGAGAGTAATTAACTAGTATTGTATGCGGAGGATGTATTTGAGCTGGATGTTATGGTAATGTGCTGGATTTTCGAGTACCGTTTGTAAGTATGGATTTTGCTCACCTACCTAATGCTTCTTGTTATAAAACTCTTGCTTAGAGGTATTATTTTCTTAGTAGGAAAATTGCTTGTATAAAATAATCTATAGTCAAAAAATTGAATTCTTTAGTGAGAATGTTTCAGGACTGCTATCAGTGGTTAGAAGGATGATCTAGCTATTTTTCCTTTTAAAATTTTGATTTTGAGAGAATGTTTTATGATTGCAACCAGTGGTTGAAAAAGATGTCTAGTCTTTTATGTTATAAAATCTGTTAAACCTTGTACTACAGTCTAAAGGTGTGCATTCACATACACTATATATTGAATAGATTAAATATACTTTAAAATACACTAGATTTGTTTATCATAACATCCAGCACCTAATTGCATAGTTTGTAAAGTGAAGAGACTATTACATATCTGTTACTTGACAGTTGGATTTTTGTGGCCATATCTTAATCTTACTTGCCATAGGGGGTGGTAGTCATTTCTTTGTGTATCTCTCTCTCTCTCTTTCTCTCTCTCTCTCTCTCTCTTTCTCTCTTTCAGTACACACACACACACACACACACACACACACACACACACAACCTTTGAATTCTATAGGATTTTGCTGAATGGTACATTTCTTTGTGGTTAATAAATGGATAAAGTCTAGTCTTATGTCTGTAGTGGTATTGATCAGTTCCGTGTGGGCTGAATGTGCTGTGAAATGGCGATCATTGCCAGAGATTAACCAAAAGAATCATGTCTGTTTAAATGGAAGAAGGAACGTGCTTAAGGCAGGCTGACAGCTCTTTTTGTGCATGATTTGGGAGGGAAGATGAACAATGGCATGACGAAAAAGAGTGAAGGCCTCAAAAACATTAAATCTTTTGCTCTTGCTTGCAAAATGCTTTCATGTTGTGATTTTTATTTTCCCCTGTACTCCTATTCTACCCTCATATCCTCTGGTTGGTGTATTCCGCTTGTTCTTCTTGAGGAGCCTTCTCTTGAACCCCCTTTTCAGCTCTCCTGCCTTCGAGGAGGAGGAGCATGACTGCCTCTAACTGCCCAAGGAATTGTGGACATTACTCCATTCCAAACCCACCTGAGTCACACTAATTGCTGAACAAGGTTGTTCTTGAGCAGACATAAGGCACTGCTTCTGGAATAAGGAGGCTTGCTGTGTAGCTCTTGCAGCTTTCTCCACTTAGCTTGGGAACAAGAGAAGAGAAATTGAGCAACGGTTTTCCTGTAAGATCATTCACTAGGCCAGCAGGTAAATAGCCATAATTCTGCTGCTGTAGAATGTTTCATTTACAATAAAACCAGTAGGAAAAAAGAAAATAAATACTGCATAGCTTAAAAAAAAATTCTAAAGATCTAATCTGTTAGTAACATTTGAACAGTTTTATAACTTAAAATAATAGATTTCTAGAGGACTTCTTTTATCAAGTAGATGTGTTCTGAGTATTTTACTGTGTTGCCCCTGCTGTTGATTTCTATCTTTGGTATAAAATTTGTCATTATTGAAACATTTATGATTATTTTTCTTTTTAAAAACTTGGTTTTCAGATTCATCTTTCTGGGCTGTTACATATTATATTAAGTCTTTTCTTTTTTTTAAATAATGAATAATAGAGAAGAAAAGTTTTATTCTACATTAGGTTTTGTTAGACATTTTCTTAAGTCTCACAAACTTTCTCATTTACTTTTTCTAAATATTTATATATTTATAAACACATATAATGTGTTAAAGGGTCAGGTTATACAGAGTCAACCTGTTGGATATAGGCAGGTGTGTATAACATTTAATTTGCTATTTTAATCTTCTAAGAGATACCTTAGGAACTTAGAATCATCTTAGAATGCCCTTCATAATCTCCTTGGTTTTTAATGTTTTTAACCCATTTTCATTTTTCATCTTCTGAAATGTGACAAAAATAAAAATATGATTGTGAATTGAGCCTTAGCATTTTATTTCATTATTATTTTCTTTCCAGACATTTTTAAAATGTGAGGATGATTGTAATTCTGTGCTCCAAGGACCTGGGTTTATCATGAGTTCTTACACTATTGTAATATTTAAAACATATTGAAAAAAGTTGAAAACTTCCTAGTTTTTATTGGGAACAGTACATCTATTAGCTATATTTGATGAAACAAGAAATGAAAACATTGTTTTATTAGCAAGTATTTTCATTTGCTTCAGGTAGGCATTTTGGTTTTTCTTTCTGCTTTTAACAATGTATCCTTCTCCTGGCTAAAGAGTAGTTTATTTGAAATCCTTTATTGTCTGATAAGAGCCTACGTCTTTTAATACTGTATCTACACAAATTCAAGCTATGTATCTAGTGACATCCAGTTCAGAAACAAAGACACTTAAAATTTCTCTGGTTTATAGAATTCTCCCAACCTTAAAACAAACAAACAAACAAACAGAACAACAAATCATTTCTTTTGCCAGTGAATGGAATCTTTTCTGAAAAATAGAGAAAACCTGTTAGTGGATTGTTTTGGTAATCTTTAGTCAACTTTGTACAGGAAGACTTTTCATCTTTGCATCATCTTTTCTTGAATCATTGCATCTAAAAGTACTAGAAAATGGATTGTAGTTCATTATGTGATTAAGATTTTCTATTATACATTTTGATGACAACTATAAATAAGAGTTTTTTTTAATTAAGGTAGAATACTTGTGAATACTTTCTTCAAGGATTAAATAATTTATTACATTTGCCCTGGATCCATATCTGGTTTGCTGGGACAATCAACTTAAAGGATTTTTTTTCCTGTGTTCTTGTTGAGATGTCTTGAGGTTATTTATTTTTTTTAAACATAATGGCTGTAAGTTCAATTGGATTGGGTTAATTAGCAATATTTAGTATCTTGTAGCATTTTATGGAAGAGAATTTGAATTCAATTTTTTTGAAGGAATAATTTTATTTAAGCAGTTTCAATCTCAGAGACCTTTTAAAATTATTTCATGTGTTTATTTCTTGTTTTCTGTGTGTGTGTGCTGTCTAGAATTATTAGCTACATTTTGGGATTACATTGAATAAAACTCTGACAAGTGCCCTTGCCCTTAGGAAGGATAAGATTTGGTCAAAATTAGAAGTGCTTGCACCTTACGATGGAACTCTAGTTTTTAAGGAAACCTCAACCAACCACATTGAGAATTCCAGTGAAACTCATATTCAGTAAGCAGCATGAACCCTCAGAGGGGAAGCCTTAAGAAATAACTTCTTAAGAGGGTGTGCTTAGCTTATTTTGATACCTTAATAACAGCTTCCCCGAAATATAGTCTTAATATTGCTGATAATTTTTCAAATAAATTTGGCTCACAAAAATTTAATTGGTGAGAAGCATGGAGAGCACAGGACTAAATACTTTGTTTGAGCCCAGTTTTGATGCCGACTAGCTCTATTATTATGGGCAAACCACTTTTTTAGGCCTTTCTTCTATTAAATGAAGAGGTTGAACTAGATACTCTTTAAGCTCTCTTCCAGTTTTAAAATTTTATGCTCATTATATATGAGCATCTGGGCACCTGTTATTTTCTTTGTCTCTTTTTCCTATTCTAATATTCTTGTGTGTTGTTTTTCACTTTTATTGGTGGAATATCTTGACTTTTTGTTTGTCATGGACCTGTGTTTTGAATTTGCCTTTTCTTTTACTGCAGTGACTAGGTAACCTTTTGTGTGGTCTTTCTTTCAGAAGATGGTTTAGATCATGGTAGTCTTTACGTGGTATGAACCAAATTGAAGGGTGCTCTACCTGTTTTCATATATTTTCTTCTTTGTCTTTCTCCTGGTTTTTTTTTCTTTTCTCTCTTGTTCTCTCTTCCTTTTTTTTTTTCCCTGTCCCTTTTTTGTCTTTTTTGGATCTGTTTTATCTATTTCATAGACTAGCCAGTGACCCCAAGGCATGGCTTATCCCCATTGGTAACTTACAAAAAATGTCTTGACCCTTAGTTTAGTAGATTAAAGCAGACTGAATTTAGTATCCTTGAAAATTGACTCATATAGAAATACTTTCCAACTGTTTTTTCAACAGATCATTCATTTGGTGTTTGGAATGACATATGCATACATATATACAAACTTGGGAGTATTATTTCTTACCTGGAGTTGAATGGATTGAGCATTATGTACTTACATCTCTTAGTAATTCCTTTCTAATTATAGTATTTATATGCATATATGTATATATGTGTGTAAATATATGTGTATATATATTCACACACATGTGTGTATACATACATATAAATAAAATTCCTTTCTTAGAGTTTCATTCAATTCTTCCATGACATTTAAAAACTAAATTGTCTATTAATGTTCAATGATTCTTTCTTTTTATAACCCAAATCTGCCTGGTGAGTATG